GGATTCTTCCCAGGGACGAATGCAGCCACAGACAACAAAGAAATTACTGCGATGAAAGAAAATGCGAGAAATCTACGCACAATAAGAATACAACATTCAAATCGAGAGTTTCATCCAATCTTTGCAAGAATGCACCCGGGACAAGGGCCATTGCGTATATAGTAAATCAGGGACAACAAAAGCCAAACCCACGCTAGCCGGGCAAAAATATTGATTGTTTTGCAGTGGGGAATACAATCGCTGAAGTGTTCCCAACAAGTACCATTACTACGCAGTTATATAGAGAGAATATTGCACTTCACTATGCCTAGACCTGGTGCAATGGCGGCTGAAATAGTATTTTTAAGGCATTCTAATATAAAAATAGAGGGCTATTAATAGGGCAGGTTATAAGCCTAAGCTAGGCTATAAAAGGCTTAGATTTGAGGCTGGATATAAAGAAAAAGTTACTCAAATCATATGCTTTCAGAAGTAAAAGTCAAGTTATTTACTCTAGAGCTTATAGAACAAGCACAGAAACAATCCAGAGCATGCCTAACCTCTTAATGTGGCAAGCATAGTACAGGGACATGACTATAAAAGTATAATTAATAAGATAGAGTTTCACAATAATGAGCATTTCAAAGTGTGTTTCGCAAAACTGAGCTTTCACTAATGACTGACATGAGACTAGGATATTCCCCCTCCGCCTTCCTAGCCTGCTTTGCCGAAAAGTTTATAGGATGGGAAGACCAACGGAAAGACAAAAAAGCTGGCAGCCACGTGGCACTGAGCGACATGGGCTTGGCAGGGTTCTGACTTTGACTTTAACTAATTATTTAGGGTTTCCTTCCATGAAAGGGTCCGTACACTTTCTGTCCTCTATATAATGGGATCAGGCTTGGCAATAATACTTTTGGTATTAATAAGGTATTAATACTAGATAGTATTAGTCAGGTATTACAAGAATCGATATATATTAATACCGAATTAACTCTTACTTCTTAAATAGCCTTAAATAATTTCTTTCTTTTATTATTTATTTTATATAATAATATATTTATATATAATTTCTTTAATTTCTAGTCTTTCTATTAATATAAATATATAATATTATTAATAAAAGTTAATAAAATCTTGAATTTAAAGAATTAAGCCTTATATTCGTATTTCTTATTAAGATGCTTATTATAAGCAAGCCCTACAAAAATCTCAAAAGCTTTTTTTACTTAAAATAGCCGTATTAAAATAAGCTTTAGTCTGAAGTATAAGATAAGTAATTAAATAAAAAGCCTAAATTAAGTAAAATATTTGCGCTATCAAAAACTTTCTTATAAGAGAGGTAATTCTAAAGTTAATTGTAATTAAAGGGTAGAATTAGGTTCAAAGAATCGATACTTTATCCATAGTATCGATACCTATCGATACCTGAAATTAGGTATTACTACCAAGCCTGCATGGGATTGCAACAAACATATTTGAAAGGCGGTCCTCTACAGTCGAGATGGAGAAGCCTCCGCCTCCCTATCTATCTTTTTCAATCAGTAACTCCTAATGCCTTTGTTTGTGCCGCATTGCGGCATTGGTAACTGGCGTTTGCCGCCGGTATTGCCGGGCCGTTGAGGGGGCCGTCTGTGCAAGGAGCTGAAGGTTCCATAAAGGCAAGACAGGGTGGAACCACCTCAACGGCAAGTTGCGTTGATCGAGTAGGCTTGGACTGGCTGGTATGCCTGCAGGCGATGCTTCGGTTCATGCAGCCGTGACGTTGCATGGCGGAAGGGGTTGTACGGATATCGCGGCATTAAGTCACGGGACTTCAGTTATGTGCTCTGTAGTGCCTGTAGCTATAGCCCCACGCTGTTGGCAGAGTGGCTATAGCGCTTAGATGCTGAAATTTAGTGCTCTTATAGAGCACTTTAGCGTCAAAGCCCTGAACTTGCGAGGGCATACCCTAGAAATGTCTTTTAATCCCTGAAATGTCTCACAGGGGCTTGACCGTAGGGGCTTCTAGCGTCTGCCTCAACTATAATCCGAACCTATCCGTTACGCTGCGGTAGCGCCCGTGTCGGCCCACGCGCATTCAAGCGAATGTGAGTAGCAAATCATATCGTCAAATTCTTGATTTCAAGACCTTTGATTTGCTGCATTTTTGCGGTTGATCCCAGGAACACGGGCGCTGCGGCAGCGTAACAGATAGTAAACGAATAGTGTATCCCGGCCAGGCATGCCCTGAAGTCGTATGATTTTATGCCGCGGTATCCGTACTAAGACTCAGGTTAAGAGAGACGGCAGTCGTAAGACAGAGCCTGGCAGGGACCAAAAAACCTATATATAACAGAAACTTCTCGTCACCTCACCAAACATACCCGCTTGCCATTCCGGTATCTTCATCAAACGATTAGTTGTCAAAATAAATCAACAATTTTCGCCGCTGAAACGAATCGCACAAAAACAATCTTCAAAATACTTCCCGTTTTGAAGACCTCATTAAACAATCCCATAACCAAAGGTTCGTTATTACCCACAGGTTCAACATACTGGCTGGTATTGACATAAGTTCTCACTACAGCATGAAGCTCGCCGTGTTGTTCTCCGTCTTGGCTGCTACGAGCACCGTGGTAGCCAACCCAACTCCAGGCTTTTCCTTTGATGCAAATGGAGTGGCTGCCCTTCTTGACCCGCGCGTCTGTTGTACTTGTTCTAATGGGGATTCGGGCTGCGGTGGTTGGTGTTACACGAATTGCCCCTCTTGTATCTCAACCTCTTGTTCAGAGTAGATGCGATAAGAATAACGAAGTTTATAAATGGAGGTTGGATGTTGTGTATTCGTATGAGGTTGAAGGGGATTTCGATATGGACTAGTCCCTTGGTTGGCGCTGCTTTTCTGTTAGCAATTTGAAGACCTGTTTTTGGCTATTTATGTGCCTCGTGCAAGTATTTTCCACATGGGTGCCTTGTAACTTACTCACAAATGCAAAGGCTCTGATATTAAAATATCGAAACCGAGTGTTCTTGATAATACTGATTTAACTGAAGAGAATAATAAGATCCAAGAAAAACATCGCATTGAAGACTGGGCCAGAGCAACAGGCTCCCACTTTACACCAGAGAAGTCTGAGCCAATACACCTCAAAGGAGAAAGGGAGTACTGAACAAAGCCAATATCGCCATTAACGGGAAGACTCTTAAAGCTTCCCCTTAGCCAAACTACTAGATGTAGTTTTCGATTAAGGAATGAGATGAGAGAGGCATATGCAATTGACGGTGAGAAGAGCATCTAAAGCCAGCATTGTCATGGGAGGGCTCAGATACCTCCGTCTAGCCCAAATGAGACAGTTCTAGCGAGGACGCGGCCAAAAGTAAGGAGACTGACTGATAGAGTTCAACGCTATTATTTTGCCGCAGACAGGGTCCTAAATAGGAAGTAGGGCTTCGGCGACATCCTTTTTTGTAAAGAGATTCAAGAATTCAAGTACTATTTGCTTCTAAATACCTTTAATCTTTTATTATAGCTAATTAAATAAGATATAAAGAGTTAAGCTAATAATGCTCGAACTAGAAGTATTAGAATTAGAGCAAATTAAAAACAAATAAAGATAAGATTACAGGTTTAGCCTTATTATAAAATAAGACAAAGCTAAGGCTCGGGTATATTAGCCTTAATAATATTTCTTAAACCTCTTTTAAAAAATAATAATTATAATAATAGTTTCTAAAAGTTTTTTCTTATAATATAAAATAAACAAGTTATAAATAAGGCAAATAATTTATATATAAAACAAGTTTTGAATTTACTTAAAGCTTTTTTTATATTTATTATTAATTAAAAGTTTTAATTAATTATAAATATTATAATAAAATAACTATTATTATAATAATAAAAGCATATATTAAAGCTAAAAGCTATTTAATAAGCTAAAGTACTAGTTATATACTAAGTTATATATAATAGTATTATATAATAATAAAGTAATATTTTTAATACTTATACTTATATAAGTACAAATATATATATAAATATAGCTTTATTATAAAAAGAAAAAAAGTCTATTTGCCTTATATAAGGCTTAGAACTCCCAGAATTAGCTCTCTGGCTAGTTTCTAACGAGAAACCACAGTATAAGCACATTCCTCTTGCTTATTTGACCTGGGCTGTTGCTGGTTGAACCTGACCAAGTCTGAGCAATTGAGTCTAAGGGAATGAGCACTAGCATGAGTGGTTTCGTTGCTTCGAGCGCAGTTGCAATTCTGTAGGGATCTGCAACTACATGTACAGGCAAAGTTACACTGTCAACTCCAACTCAGTTTTTCCTTTACCAGAGGTTGGCAACAAAGCTCAATTAATCATCCTCGATCGGCTTGCGTCTCCAAGTAGCCTGCTACAGATCCCAGATCAGGTGGGCTACTCCTAACACCCTAGTGAAGTAAGACACGGCACAAAAAACAAAGATTCTGGCAACAGGCTTCGCTAGCAGAAAATCTGCCTGAGCGAGTCAGCAGGTTGCGGCTCAGTTCTGACATGGCATCCTACATGGCTACGCGCAGTGGCCTTGCTGCATGATCATCCATTAACTACTCTACTTTTGAGTAATGTTGCATCGTTGGTCTTATCCCATTTGCTGGACTTTTAATCGCGATGTCCCACTCACATGTTCCAAGTAGTGGCTGCATGATCATCCATCAACTACTCTACTTGAGTAATGTTGCATCGTTGGTCTTATACCATTTGCTGATCTTCAATCACGATGTCCCACCCGCGTATTCCAAATGAGATCTCATTCGCTCTGCCACCTACCCCATTCCGTTTTTATCATTATGCGCATGGGGGCTCACTCCCAGCAACTAAGCCTCCACAAGATAGCCCCCAAAACCCAAAATAGCCCCCAATAGTTTCAATCGAGCCAGCGAGTGGCAGATAGTCCAGCACACCAGGCATATGAGCGGTGCCCGATCAAACTGGCACGTTATAAGATCGCCATGTTGGTAGTAAATTTGCTGCTTCAAGCTACCCCAACTTCAAGATGTCTAATACTTCATTTTTGTCGTCTCTTTCTTTCTTCAACGATGAATATCGCGGAGTCAATATCAGCGAACCCGAAAGTACAGAGGAAAGCGGGCTACGAATATCAAGCAATAAAATCCTGAGAAAACCTTTCAACCATAATGCGCCAAGGACAAGGCTGTCCTCTTGGACAAATGACGATGATGGTGAATCCCGTTTCCGAAATATACCTGCGGTTTGGGACCTAACGAAGATCGCAGAAAGCCTCCTTCCTCACTCTCCGACCGCATACCAAACTCCAACAGTACCACTCCTGCCGCCTAAAAAGACACACAGATTTGTACGCAAGCGGCAACTTTTGACGCTGCTTTTCGAAGGCTCCGCACGTTTCTTCATCACTGTTAGCTTGACTGCAGGCCTGCTATGGACGCTATTCTATTATGCGAAAAAGCCTGTGTTGCGCGAGTCGCAGAAGAAGATGTTCAACACCCTCGTAACGTCTCTAAGTATGAGTCTTGGTATTGCTATTGCAAGCAGCTTCAAGGAAGTGGCGATCAATATTCGGTGGTGGGTTTTGAGTCGGAAAAAGAGACCTCTTTCAGAGGTGAGTACACCTGTTCTAAACAAACTCATGTGGAAGCTTACGCATTACAGGTTGACGCAATCTTGGAGTGCGGAAGCCTCACAGGTCTCACGGTCCTTGCTGCGAAGTCGACCCGCGATCGAAAGCTAAAGATTGCTATAATTTGTGCGTTGTGGGTGTTGATCAACATCGTACGTCCTGTCACACAAGAGGATTCTTCATTCATGTTCACACCGAACAGGCTGCACAAGTTGGAGTTGCTATGATTGGTTTGACGTACTCTTTAAACAATGCTGTCGATTATAATAGTAGCGTTATTGGTGATATCCTATTCACAGACGTGTCGCAATCTTTTGCTTATAGCATCGACTACGATACCACGGCTGCTAGTGAGCTTGCAGCACACACAGTTGGTCTCATTCCTTCAAAATTATGAGATGAAAACTAAAGACTCTCTAGTATGGGGAAATGGCCCTTGCCTGGGCGATGGGAAATTTAACAATAGATGCTAAAGTAACCCCCCCGACGCCACTCTCCGCTGCTGGTAGCATTCCCTTCGCGTATCTTGCAACTCCCGATTACTTTCAATATTTCTTTATGGAATCCTCAGCCAACTCTGGTCCCAACTCCAATCCCATCAACTTCTACAGTAACCGCAGCATCAAGACTACAGGCTCTTGTGTTACTTACCCTGTTCATGACAATGTCAACGGGTCCTCACAGTCCTTTACAGTCGAGAAAGACGGCAAAACATATGATCCCGGCTTCGAATCTATAGGACCAAATTCGACCACATACTATACACAACAGAATATGGAATGCGGGCCAAGATGTAAGGAACTCTGTGCTTACGAAAATAATGGCGTGGCAGCCTTCTATTATGAATGCAATGTCACGGTGAGCACCGTCTCGAATGTATCATATCCATCGCAGAATGTCTCGGACAAGAACGCTCTGATGGCAGCGGGGGCTATCGGCTTGCAAGGCTATCAGCAGTATTCTAATTCCCAGCCCATGTCTCAATATCAGCAGTTCCCCGCCGAATCAACTTACGGGCACTTTGTAGGTGATGGGGCGCAGATGGCCTCGCTCATGAGCCAATTTGCGATTGGTGTCTTTGTTACCGCGGACAAGATCATGCAGCCCATTCGGGTCCCGGTAGATGGCCTCTTGCCACTTCAAGGCGTCCGTCTTTCGGTCGATAAACCAGTTGTCGTGTTTGCTATCCTAATCAGTATTGTTGCTTGCCATTTTGTGTTGTTTGTTCTAGGCTCGGTGCTGGCGAATAGAGTTGTTGTTGTTAATGATAGTTATTTGGCAATTGCGCTTCTTCTGAGACCGGTTACGGAGAAGATGGCGAATCAAGACTTCCTGGTGGGGGGAGAAAGGAGCTTCCCTGATATGGAAAAGATGGATGTTGTGTACCGCAAGAGTATGAGGGGAAAGGAGCGAGATGGGATTATGGGGTTAGAGATTAGTGAAAGCTAATCGCGTGAGGAATCCGAGGACTTGGGAGGGGGCTAATGACTCGTAGCCTCTTATGTTATGTCATTACTTTTTACGAGTACGTTCCAGGAAATTGAATTATAATCCTTTAATAAGTAATAATAGTATAACGGGCATATTTTCTCTTTTCCCTTCTCTTTGCCTGCATTTAATAAGGCAATAAATAAAGGAAAGCCTTCTTTTACTTTAATAATATAATTAAATATTTAATTGCGAAACTTTTTACTATTAATATTAATTAATTATACTATAAAAGAAATTTTAAATAGAATATACTTGTTTTAAATAAATAAAACAAGTTAGTTAATATTAAGTTTTTTTTAACTAAGTAATATAAAATAAAAGTAATATTATTTATTTAAATAACTTTAAATTAATCTTTTATTTAAAAACTAGTTATAATAAGTATTATAGTTCAATATTATAGTATTTATATAAGATTCTAATTTTACTTTTAAATAAATAAATAATAAATTATTTTATTTTATTAGTTTCAAGAATTTAATATCTTTTTATAAACTTAATAACTAATACTTAAGCTCTTAATTTATTAATATAATATAGTAAGCTATATTTTATATAAATTGCATTATTTTAATAATTTTGAAATTTTAATTATATAAAAAACTAGCTTTTTATATATTTTATTATATATACTTTTATTTTTATTATTTTTATAATAATAGAAATAAAGTATTAAAATAAAGCTTAATAATTAATAATTTTAATATTTTAAGGATTTAAAACTAAGAGAAAAATAAGTAAAATATTATAATAAATAAATATAGCTAAAATTACTAAAATATCGAGCTTGATTTAACTTTTAGTTTAGAACTAAGTTTAATTCTTTAGCTAAAATTAACATTTTTAGCTAAAACTAATTATATAATATTAGTTATTATAATTTCATTATTAAGTTATATTTTATATTCTAGTATATTTAATATAAGTTTTATCTTATTTTAGTTTTTCTCTTATATTAGCTAGTATTTTAACTAATTTTATTATTTTAAATAATATATATTTTTTATTATAAATCTATAAAAAAAGCTTATAAATAGAATATTTATAAGAGAAATTATTTATTAAGAAAAAAAAGAGCCTCGAATTAAGGGTTTTTAAATATTTATAATTCCTTGCTTATAGCTTAGCCTAATAGGGCTTAGTAATTTAAATTTCCCAGAATATAGCTTTCCTTAATAATATAATATAATATAATATAATTATTAGATAATTATAAATATCCAGATATTATATTATTTAAATATTTAAATATTTAGATATTATATCAAATAAAATATAGAATTATAATGTTTTTCTTTTATTAAGCTTTATAATTTATAAAATAAAAATAAAGGGTTTTAAGCTCATTTATTATTTTAGCTTTATTATTATAAATATAATATAAAATATAAAGAAATACTTATAAATATTTATATAATTAAACTATTATTAGAAAACGCTTTTTATAAAAATAATTAAATTAAAATAAATAATAATTATATAGCTTTAATTTATTACTAAAGATATTTGAATTAAAGTTTATTTTTTTGAGCTTAGTAATAAATTAAATAAGGAGTTAAGGGCAAGAGTATTAGTTATAGTTTGAAGTAAGAATTTTAGAGTATGGCTGGCTAAAGGAACGTTATAACGGGCTCTCTTCTTTAATAGCTAGAGTGACCTCGGAAGGGTCGAAGAACAGTTACTACGAAGTCTAGTAAATGCAGAATTGATGAAAAACTCAGAAAGAATAGGGTTAGTATTCATTATCAAATACTTCTGCTGCCTACACACCCAGAACTTAGACGAATCTCTAGCATCCCCCTCTGTCGGGCCGATGGCGAGCCTTGTTAGGCAGCTACTTAACCAGATACTAAGCAGAGAACTCGATGTTAATACCCCATTTCTCGAGAAATCAGACTGAAAGAATGTGGAGAGCTACGAACTGTTGTCTTGTACTGTACTGTACTGTACATGGTCTTTCGAGAGCTCGTAAGATAACTCCCACCGAAGACGCTACTGGTTTGCGAAGTGAGTCTGTATGAAACGAGAGCTCTCGGAGACGATACAGATGTGGTCATGAGACGCTTGACCCATTTGGTGGCTAACCCCATGGATATTGTCATCCAGATGTTACTTACTTGCAGTGGTCAAGCTCTGGACTTCCAGCAATATTTCCAGGGAGATGAGATTCTCGGTACTGACGAAGACACCGACATAGACGAATTAGCCATACGGAAGATTCGACACATTAGAGGTAGCGAATGAATCTAGGATATTTCATACACAAAAGACCCCCTCCATACCAACAGAGAAGCAAAATAGAAATTTCCTGGCACTTGAAAGATTTTTCGAAACCCAATGATACAAACTTCTGGGGAAATTGGTTAATCTGAAAGACGAAAAAGAGTTCTTGGTGTTGACGTGGCCGTAATACGGAAGGACCAACGCTAACAGGGGTACGCGAGAAAGTCGCGCCCTCCTCAACCGACGCGTTTGAAGATACACTCTCTCTACAAGAACTGACATATTCAACCATTTCCAGCTCAAAGAATGGCTTTCCAATCAGCGCCCCCAACCTCTTCAGTCTCCAGCTTAGGGCGCGACAAACAAAGCGTTGAAATGGAGAGAACATGGCTTGGACTTTGGCCCGAAGTCACAGATTTGACTGGATCGCCCGAGAAACTGGCGTCGGGGTTAGACAAGCAGCTCAAAGAAGTCATCGCGACTACCAGCCACAGCGCTTTACGCAATGCGGTGCTGGAACTCTGCAAGCAAATGCCTGAGGCGTCGGACTTCCTCTCTGTCCTCCTCATACCGCCTCCAGCTTTCAGCACGAGGGTCGAACACACGGGTGTGGTACAAGAAAAGGCTACCAAGAAAAGAAAGAGGAACATATGCGAGAATTGTGAAGGAGATGCCGATGATAATGACGGATGCTGCAAGTGGGCTATGATGCAGGCAGCAGAGTAGGCAAAACCCTATCTAGGGTGTCGGAAGTGACTGATAGTTAGACGGCAGGATTCAAGAGGCGAAGAACCTCCTAAGCTCCGATTCTGAGAAGGGGGGCGGTCCGCGCATCTGCGATGAATGTGGCGGTGACCCCGACGAAGGCGATGGGTGTTGCAAATGGAATATGATGCGGGAGTCAAAGTGAGCTTGCCAAGTTGGCTGCAACGAAGTTCTGGCATGGCTGACTTACATGGCAGGAAATATGAAGCGAGATTGTTCCTGAGCGTCTGTGACAAAACAAGGTATGAGTCGGAATCCGAATCAGAATAGAGTCCCGGTATCCTCAACATGCAACTGTGGCTGTCGGTATTTAGCAATGGAGCTGTGTTGGCGCGGGCATTGGCAATGCACTCATGTGTTTCCACATACACAGTAGAATGAGCTTTGCTCAAATTTATAATATTTTCTGTTTCGCGGCCTCAAATTTTCGTGCCAATAATATCCATCGCCCCAATTTTGCTGACGGTGGACATCTCGCCACTCATATTCGCATCAATCCGGATTGTCAGGCTCTTCACACCAGTAAACTTCGACGCCTTCAGTTTCAGCTCTGCCACTCCATTAACGTACTCATCAGAGTAGATGTTAAAAGATTGTGTGTTCTCCGCCTCGCCAATCGAAGACTCCATATCCAAATCGTTCGCCTCCACTCCCTCTGGAGATTTCGTCACCCGAACAGGAATGTTTGTGCCAACTTGTATCCGCGACGGAGCATTCGATACCGAGTCTCTCGCTATTGTGATCTCGAGCTTACTAGGAGTAACTGCTTGTGTAAATGGCAGATGGATGAGGAGTCGTGAGCCCGAGGCTGAGGCTGCCGCGTATCCGGCCGGAGGTGGAAGCGCGATATTTCGGACTGAGCTGAGGAGCGACGCATTCAGCAGTTTGGCTGTATTGACATCAATCAACGGCCTTAAGCTGTATGGCCCTACACTCGATGTACTCGACTCGCCCTCCTTTGTGTTTGGTCCTTGTCCTGCTGTCTCCTTCGCCGCTGCGGTGGTGTAATATCCAATCTTCGTCGTTAGTTGTTGTGGATCTGCGCCCTTGACTTCATCGACCTTCTTTCCTTGCTTGAAGAACTGGAACGTCGGCATCGCTGTTATGTTGCATGCTTGCGCGACATCCTTCGCCTTGTCGACGTCACATTTCGCAAAGATTATGGAGGTGGAGGCTTCGTGGGGCTTTGCAAGCTTGTCGAATACTGGGGAAATGACTTTGCATGGGCCGCACCAGGTTGCGTAGAAGTCGATGACGAGGAGGGGGTTAGCCTTGAGCTTGTTGAACTGCGATAGTGATTTGATTTCCTGCATTTTGGTTGAGAATGATGTTGCTGATGAACGAAGAGGGGTGGGATCATGAAGTTATCGGCCACGGTGGAAGGGTCGGCCCGAGATTCCAGAATCTACCCCGCCACCTCGCTGACAAACGTTCGGATTCAGTCCTGGTGGTCTTCCCGTCCAATTGGGTAAGCATTTGTAACCTCCCTTCTTTGGTTACAGGACCTAGGAGACGGACTGGTGAAGTTCAAGCTATCAGGTGCAGAAGCAGAATAATTTAAAGCCGTCTGCGATGTTAGTTCCACCAGCCTGAAGCTGCTTCCCATGGGAATGTGTAAAACGACACCCCCCGGGGTGTCGTTTGGGGTGTCGATTGGGGGCCACTAACCCAAAGTAGAGGAGCTCGGACAGGAACACCAAAAATCTAGCTTTCTCTTTAGTTTAATTTGACTTTATAAGGAATTAATATAATTTAATGCTTGTTTCATTTTCTTATAGCGCTAATTAAGGGCTATTCAAATATAAACTTTTTATAGAATTTGGATTAGTAATGGCTCTTTAAATTAAAAATGTTAAAAATTTCATATTTATAACCTAAAGATAAGCTTATGAAAGCCTAGAAATTTAGCGAATAAGTTCCTAAAACTGGACATGGGAGCCCTATTAGCACCTAATTTACAGGGCCTTATAGGGCCTAAAAACTAGACCTTAATTAATTAGTATAAAAAGTTCTTTTAATTAAAATTCTATTTTAAGGAATTACTTTATTATTGTCGGTTCACTAGTAACGCGTAGCACCGTCACGTAATATGCGTGGAATGCTCGTTGCATAGTTGGTGAAGTGGTTTTTTATTCAGAAGTAGGAGCGCAGTATCGTGGTGTTGACATGCTCCTAAATCTGCTAAGCCTATTGGGACTAGTCAACGGGTTGAGTCACGCATGTGATGCGAGGTCACATGACCAGTAAATTCGCAGTGCAGCTGTTCCGACAATTATAGATTAAGAAGTATATAATTATATTATAAGCCTTATACTATACTAGCTTACACTTATATTTAAAAAATCTAACTTAAATCCCAAAATACCCTGGCCCCCAATCGACACCCGGTGGGGTGTCGTTTTACACATTCCCCTTCCATGCCCCTCCTTTTCACGTGGCCCGTTCTCGCTAAATTTATATGATACAACCCCTAATCCACCTTTGGGATTGATCACCCAAACACAACCTCCAATCAATGTATCCACATCGATATAGAAACCCCTACCAATGTTGAATCAATGCTTAGGCCCTATACAAAGCCGGAAAGAGAATAGATTTGTTTCAAAACGTTAAGAATTTGCCAATACAATCGCAAAATAGAGGCCTCAGACTTGAAATTATCGCAGAATCTGCGGGGTTACTTTCTAAGCATGTTAAGCGAGCTTAAATAGGAAACCCTCACCAGGGACAGCAAAAGCGAACTAGTTAATGTCATAGCGAAGTTGGACATCAAAGGGAGAAGATTTTAAATATTCTAGAAATCGATAGATAATAGGAGGAATTAGGCTTTAATTACCCCAATAAATCGAAGGGACCTTCGGATGGGAGGTATCTGAAGTAGTCCAAGGTGACTTAGGAGATTGAGAATTCAGTACCGCTTTTTCTGTCCACTGCTAGGGCATTAGTCTCCAGCGAGAGAAGTTCAATGGCGGGGAATCAGGAATTGAGATTAATTCTGCATCAATAGGAGATTTAATTTCAACTGGGGAGAATACATCAGCGTCAAGGGGGGCTCGTCTTCTAGGGCAGATCTTGTATTTAAGTTTCTGAGTTTCTTTCCTCCTTTTCATTGGCCACCGGGCATTGTTAAAGAAACACTGCTCTCGTCTCAGAACCGGGCGCTGAAGGATTCGGTGTGTAGAGGTGTGGACGAATGAGGGCGGCGTGGGCGTGGCTCGTCCTCGGCAGAGACAAGAAAACCAGATTTTTTGTTTCTCGGTCCGGCTGGAGCCCGAGCCAGCCGAAAACACGCGCTGATACCCGCAAATGGCCTTTCCATTCTGGGCTCACCGACGCCCGATGCTTATCGCTTGCCTCAGGGATCAGCGAGCGAATTGTGTGTGCACCCGCAGGATAACGGCGCCTCAGCTTGGCATCTGTTGCGACTATATCTTCGTCCTCTATCGCCGTCGCCGCGATGGCCACCCAACCTCACACGATGACCCATCGCAAGCATGGCGGGCGCGCCGGCCGAAGAAGCACCCGATGGCCTAGTCATCCCTTTGGATGGTCCCGTTGAGGATTGGGAAGTCTTTATAGACTTCGAGCCTCGATTTCCAACTCCTTCACCCCCAGCTGTGTCGCTTGGGATCGAATCTTCAATTCGACAGCCTGGCTCGACTCCTCAAAACCAACAGGTGTTTGTCCATCCCCATGCCCCGGTGATCTGCGCCCAGAAATCTTGGAGACAGGAAGAGATCCCACGCAACCTTATTAGCATTGGCAATGGGCACCCTTCAGTAACAGCCCGGTCACATACGGTTTCGGAAACTGTGGATGAGGGCTCACATCCCACTGCTTCATCAAACCTTCCTGGCAACAGCGTGAAGTCAACAAAGAGGAGATTCGACGATTTCATTTCGAGTTTCTCAAGTGGTGAAAATCCAAGTCAGCAGCCGAGGAAGCGACAAGAGTATCTAGCAGAGCGGCGGAAAGAGGTAGCTAAGGTGCGCAAAGTGCGAGCTTGCCAGAGATGTAGGATGAGAAAATTAAACGTAAGCTCCTTTGCGACACCCACGATTGGGTTTGGGTTTAAATGCGGCAGTGCCAAACGAGCGGATCATGCGACCGTTGCATCAACTCGGTTGGTGGTAGCATGATAATTGGGGAACGTATCTGCGTACGGCATAGTCTGGAAGAATTGAGGTTTCGAGGAGCCGGTACAATTCACCCTTCACCTTTCGATCCTGAGATTACTGACATCGTGAAGATTTATTACACGAGAGTCACGATAGGCAGTCCATTCAGGGTTTGTTTAAGCCAGACGAATCCGTATCTCGAACCGTATACTTACGCTTCCGTTCCTATGACACTGGCATGCCTCTTCGACTTGAGGTCTACGACTACTCTCAAAACCCCTATGATGATGACAAAGTGGTGAGCTATACCCTGAGTGCGAAGTCTCCTAATGAACCACGCATCCCTCAATTTTCAACGCTTGCGACTCCAAAATACGCGATCTTCGACCAATCACTTCCGTCTCCGCAGGATCTAGAAGAATGGATAAAACAGCAAGTGGACCCAATAGAGCATACGTGGAGTCCGTCAGCCATGCTTTTTAGCTCCTTTCGTTCACTTCTTACTGCGTATTTGAACACCGGGGTTGAGTTGCCTTCGGTAAGATACTGCAAATATCTCCCCATTAAGCCGGCTAGTTTCTCATTCGGGAATAGCAAGGCCTCTTGAAAGCGGCTTTGAGCATCATGAACCTTTACGAGTGCTGGCGAAACGTCTTGCTTGTGCAGGGAGAGCAATCTCACGAAGACATGCACTATATCTCAAAAACTGCCGGCCTCCAGATCGCCCTCATTGCCAAGCAAGGCATCGCAGAATACGAGATGGAGATTCTGTCTGAGATAGACGCTCTGATTTGCAAACCCAAGAGACCTTCTAAGGAGAATGAGTTTCCTATCTGGGCAGGGTTTTGGTCCCTTTCCCTATTGTACAGAGATATTCTCCGACGATACCGGTACATGTCACATTCGGTTTATTACCCAAAAGGCCGTAAGTCAGCCACAACTCCACTTCAAATCTCTCTATAACTGGATACTGCCCAGATTTCGATACTGCGATTGCTTTAGCTAGGCACATGTACCACACCCTTACCTCGTCCTACAGCTTTCTGTTCCGCAACAGGCACCCATTGGATATTGATTGGCAGAAGGACGGCAACTTACCTCATATTGATCGGGAGGTCGACAGGCAGCGTATGTGGAATCACCTCGACGGGGTCAAAGAGCGAACCCGTTTGTTCTGTAAGCCAATTCGCCCCTTCAAAATGACTTTACCTCTTAACAGTCCCGCCAATTTTCAGTCGAGTCGTATAAGCACGACGAAGATGATTGTATTATGAGGGCCTTGATGATGGAAGAGAAGTGCCTCGCTGTGTTGCCTCAGCACCCGGCAAAAGCCTCAGTTGCTCCGTTCCAAGAGAACTACTTGCAACCTCGCAATGATGTGTGCTATGGAAGAGTAGTTCCAATAAGTGGGTTCTGTCAATGTTGGCAGTAATTAACGGCAATTTTGTTTGGTTAGTACAGGGGTCAAACCTTTCAGCTCTGAGTGCCGTCTTCCGTACGTCTGCTGAGAATGTACTGAGATACGGAACATATAAGATGTGGGCATACGAGTGATGTCTCAACGGCGTAGTCGTCCTGTGGGAAATTACGGTTGCTTAGTGATAGGGCATGTGTTGAAATTGGTACGCTACCATAGCTAGCTCACCAGTCCTTCCAGCACCAGGTTCAACCACTAATTTAGGGTTCTCCACTCTCATTTGTCATGCGTCACTCGCTGAGCTTACCAAGCTTACTAGTATATCGTCATTTTGATTACTTTTGATTTATCAGCTGATTAATAATGTATCGGAGAAAGCGGGCTCAGCATCACCGGTATCGCCGAAGGGTAATGGGAATAAATCCCTTACTTTAGACACTTTTCCTCTGTTTTTACACTTCACTCTCCTGTATCTAGTCATTCTACAGATTATCAACCTCCAACATATCGATTTTCCATTAATAAATCGATCACTTTCCAATAGGTTCTGAGCCCGGCTAGTGCTTTACTAAGCGATCCAAGCGTCACTTGACATTAGTACTCGCTTGTCCATTCCAAAACCATTTCCAAAAAATCATCAAAATCGTCAATTTTGGTGAATTTCACCCATTAGTTCGGCTTCGCGTCAGCAGAATTCGCCAAAAACACAGCCATTTTCGGCCAGAAATTCTCCGCAAAATCCAACATGCCGGATTCCAAAAAATCAACCCATGTCACCTATAAAGGTACGAAAATTGAGCCTCTCTCGGACGACAATATCTACTCCTGGATGGACGACGCTATGAACCTCTTTATCGTCGAAGATCTATGGCAATTTGTTAATCCTGATCAAGCTCCTGCTCTTATAGAAGCAGGCCCAAAGGACGATAAATCAATTACTCGTTAATTTGCAATCGCTAGAGCGGTACTAAGTTTACTTATTACCCATAATACCTGGTAATAATTCAAGGAAATCAAGCTCGCATACCAAATTTGGAGCCAGATTTAAGCTAAAGCTGGATAGCTAAAAGCTCAAAAGGAAGCCCTATACCTTCAATAAATGGAAACTATCACGTTTAATACTACTATGGGAATGGATGACTTTATTAACCGCATTAGTCGCAAAGTAGCTGAAATCAAGGGAGTAAATGGATTGATTTCGGACGTTTCTGTATCCGGATACCTGATTCGTGGCCTCCCAAAGGAATACGACTTATATAAGCCCCTCCTGAATTCCATTAGAGCTAACGTTAATAAATTGAAGCTGGAATTACTCAAAGCGGACGCTTCTACTAAGGAGGAAAAGCTCAGGGCTAAACCTCCCGCTTTTAACCCAGATACTACTCCAAAGGCACTAGCTATCCAAGGGAATAGTGAAAATTAGTCAAATAATAAGCCGAAGCATAGAAGAGATCCAAATGCCTATTATACGTTCCACAAATTCAAAGGACACGATATTAAAGATTATACTACGTATAAATTGGCCCAGGATTACTTTAATTCTAATGGAAAGGACTCTAATTCCACTAATCAGGAGGCGCTATTAGCTCTATTAGCTCCATTAACTATCTATAAAAAGGCCTATACTGCCAAAAAATCAACTACTGGAAAATCGATATTTAGTGCCCTGCTCAGTAGCTAATTACATAACGATAATTTTGCGAATATCTAGTATATTAATTCGGGCGCTATGGACCATTTTACGGGAAGTAAAAGCTCCTTTATTACCTATAAAGATATGGAACCATTCCCTATTACCCTTGGTAACGAATCCACGATTCTTATTAAGGGTAAGGGAACCATTATTCTATCTACTATTCCTGAGCTAAAAGTATAGCTAAATAACGTACTATATAGCCCCCAATTCCGAAACACGTCGTTATTATCGATTCCCAAAATTACCCAAGCTAGAGGAAGCGTTAATTTTTCCACTGGGAAAGCCCATATTATTAATGACGGAACGACTATAGTAACCGGTACATATAAACCATCCACTGGGTTATATTAGCTTGACTAATTTGGTTCAGGGCGTGCCCTAAAATCGTCAAAATCGGACGCACTAGCCTCCCTGGAAACCTGGCACTAGAGATATGGCTACCTGAATGCGAAGTATATCCTGGAATTAGTAAACCACGTTAATAGATTCTAATTCAAAAATCAAAACCCGTTTAACTACGATTCCTGTAATATAAGCAAAATCACTAGGGCTAGTATAAGCGATTTATACCCTGAAAAACTGCTTCCAGGAGAGTATATCGCAATTGATATATGGGGGCCATTAAGGGTAGCCTCCCTTAGTAGAAACACTTATATACTATCCACTACCTATAAGGGATCCAAATATTGTATAGTAGCGTATAATTCGGACAGAAAGAGCTATTTTACCGATCTCCAAAATCAGGTTACCTTCTCTGAAACCCAAACTAGGAATAAAGTCAAACGCCTATATCTTAATAATGCTCCGGAATTTGTATCAGGCCAAATCAAGGAATAGTACAAATCAAAGGGTATTCGCTTGGAACTAACTACTACTTATACGCCTGAGCAGAATAGTATTTCTGAACGCAGTATATATACGATTATCGAATTAGAGTATACGGAGCTAGAATAATTGGGCTTACCATACGAGTTTTGGGAGAAAGCCGCTACACATGGGATTTACGCCTATAATCGGTGCCACCTGCCCAAAATCGGTATGACTCCGTATAAAGCGTTTTATAGGGCTAAACCGGACGTTTCCAACTTACGCATATTCGGCTCCTTGGTATACGTTTATATACCTAAGGAAATAGCTTTATGGCATAAGCACATAGCCAAAGCCTTTAGGGGCATTTTTACCGGCTATGGTGGTTCTAGATACCGAATTTGGAACCCGCATAAGCGGATATTCGTTATTTCTAACCATTGCACTATTAAAGAACACGTCAAGGGAGTTTTACTCCTAAACCTAGTATCCCAGCTATATAGAAGACTAGTGGGAACTACTACAGAATCTGATAATGGTTCCACCGATAATTTGGATAACCCCGATACAGATTACGGAGATACTATTATTGTTAATACTAGAAATTAATAGCTTGATGATCCATTAGAAAACGATGGAGAAAATCACTCCGATGCCGAAGGGGATGCTGCTGAAAACGCGTCACGTGACGCAATTAGGGGTGCTCCTGACCTAAGCGAGCCCCCTGAGCCCCTATTTGAGAATAACCAAGAACCTGTAGTACCCACAGGTGCTTCTAAATAGGGTTCTACAAATCAGGAGGCGCCCAAAATGGTCAGTTTTAGGGGTAAACTACTCCCTAGACATCCGAAATCGACTAGAATTACCGGGGAAACAGTGGATTACCGAGCTTTAATAGTCAGTAACCAGAATACAGAAGCTTCCAAAATTCCATTATTAATTAAAGAAGCTCTCTCTGGTCCAGATACCTATCTTTAGAGACCTTCGATTAAGAAGGAACTGGACTCCCATTTACGGAACCATACCTGGGATCTAGTAATACGAAAATACCAAAAAACTATCGGATATCGCTGGATCTTCAAAATCAAGTCTAATGGACGCCACAAATCTAGGCTTATAGCACAAGGCTATACGCAAGAACATGGCATAGATTACTTTGAAACGTTCGCACTAGTTACTAGACTTTCTACTATTCGAATCATGTTAGCCCTAGCGGCTAAATATGGGCTATATATCTAATAAATGGACGTTTAGATAGCGTTCCTATATAGAGAATTGGAAGAAGAGTGCTATATGGAACAACCTCCTGGTTTTACTAAAGGAACGAACCTTATTTGCCGCTTACGGAAGAGTATTTATGGCCTGAAACAAGCCCCTAGGGTTTGGTATCAGGTAATTAATCGTTTTTTCTACTCCATTGGGTTCCAGCGATTACTTAGTAATCCAGCGCTCTATATCCACCGGGAACACGAGGTTGATTAGCTACTAATTCTAATCGCTATTTACGTAAATGACATGATTATTATAGGAAAAAACATAAACCATATTAATAGAATTAAAGCTTAATTGCATTAGAAGTTTAATATGACTAATATGGGAGAAATCAAAACGCTTCTGGGTATGGAAATCGTACGTTTGCGGGACGATTCGGTGTTTTTATACCAAAATCAATATCTTATGGACATGCTCCTAAGGTATTAAATAGAAGGTTACATGCCTATTACCACTCCAATGGCCGAACCTATGGCACCTAATGGAATTAATATCGATATTACTGAATATTAAAGTCGAACTGGATTACTTATATGGCCATTATTAGCTTTACGACCCGATTTCTGCTTTGCCGCAGGGTACTTAGGACATTCCAATTCGTGTCCTAAAGCATCGTATGGTACCGCACAGAAGCGTATAATGTAATATATTAAGGGGTCACCTGATATAGGCATTCTATATAACGCTTCGTCTAATAAAGGGCTTATAGGGTACTCAGATGCCAATTATGGAGGCGATTTACAGGATCGCAAATCAACCTCCGGTATGGTTTTTACCCTATTTGGTAGTTCCATTAGCTGGGCTAGTACCAAGCAAAAAACTGTCGCTATAGCCACTATTATAGCTGAATATGTCGCCCTGACGCCGGCAATTAAAGAAGCTTTATGGCTAAAGTAACTATTTGAGGAAATATCGATTCCTATGGGCTCAATCGAGGTAAAAACGGACGCTCAGGGAGCTATGGATCTAGCTACGAACGCCCGATTTTCGCAAAAAACCAAGCATATTAATATTAGACACCATTTTATTAGGGACCACATTAACACCAAGGAAATCGATCTCAAGCACGTTCCTACGGGGGAAATGACGGCCGATATTCTCACCAAACCACTCCCTAGACCGGCTTTTGAACTGCTACGATCGAAATTGGGGCTTATTAGCCTCACTGACGTCGAACCTCGACTATAAGGAGGAGGCGTGTTGAAATTGGTACGCTACCATAGCTAGCTCACTAGTCCTTCCAGCACCAGGTTCAACCACTAATTTAGGGTTCTCCACTCTCATTTGTCATGCGTCACTCGCTGAGCTTACCAAGCTTACTAGTATATCGTCATTTTGATTACTTTTGATTTATTAGCTGATTAATAATGTATCGGAGAAAGCGGGCTCGGCATCACCGGTATCGCCGAAGGGTAATGGGAATAAATCCCTTACTTTAGACACTTTTCCTCTGTTTTTACACTTCACTCTCCTGTATCTAGTCATTCTACAGATTGTCAACCTCCAATATATCGATTTTCCATCAATAAATCGATCACTTTCCAATAGCATGACCACCGCGTTTTTTCTTACTACCTCGGGGCGGGGGCACTAGCTAGGCTTGGAGGCAACATTCTGGGCTGTTTGAATTTCCTTTGATTTATCTATTACTAGTGGTTGTTGCGGTGTCCGATTTAGTCAACGTTTGTTTTTGGAGTCAGTGTTTCGTCTTCTATACTACGTTTTTTTGTCTAATCAATTCCTGTATACTGACTTCCAATCGCTATTTTCAACCTGGAAACATTCAAGAAATTCTTCTGTTCCAGCCTTTGAGTTCAATGATGACTTCGCTGGGGTGGGTGTGATTTTCTAAACCAGCAAGTTTTGAACTTTGGAAGGCTTAATTAACACAAGAAATTTAACGGACCCGCGCTCATGTCACCAAAATATTGGTATAGGCGCGACCTGCCTCAATACCACCCCCCGACCACGAAATTGCAACGGAGTCTTTTGACTACTCTGATTCTTCAAAGTACGAAGGGTTTCAACCCACGGTAAGAGTCGCATTAGATCTGAGGTCCGCACTCGAGCTCCCAACGAATATCATAAAGTCGCCAGGTTCCACTACATACCTCATCCTAATATCCCACAACCCCAGGTCTTTAATTTCCAACGGAATCTGAACTATCGCCGTTTCCCCCGCCCGAATGGGAACCTTGGAGAAGCCTTTCAACATCAAATTCGGGACAGTAATGCTTGTGATCAGATCACGGACATATAGCTGAATGACCTCAGTGCCATCTCGAGTCGAGTTGTTCGTAACTTGAACAGTTGCCATGGTGGAATCTGTCGTCGTCGCATTCGTCTTAGAGAGCTTCAAGTCCGAATAATGAAAGGTGGAGTACGACTTCCCGTATCCAAACTCGTACAAAGGCATCGGCGAATTGAGGACATACTCCGGCCCAAATACCAAAGTACCATTGTCGTACTCATGACCAGGAGAGGAGCCCCGACCAGTATTCAAGTAATCGTAGTAAACTGGCATCGTTCCAACATCATATGGAAACCCAACAGACAGCTTCCCACTTGGATTGATATCTCCGAACAAAACATCTGCTAGAGCATTCCCGCCTTCTTCTGATGGATAGAATTGCTGAACGAGCGCTGAAGCGTTCTGTGAAATCCAGGCTTCAGTGATAGGTTTCCCGGAAGAAAAAACAACTACAGTTGGTTTCCCTGTCTTGATAATGGCAGAAACAAGATGTGGCATCGCACCGACAAGGTTTAGTGAGGCAGTGTCGATATGTTCTCCAGTAGTAGCGTTCAGTCCCTGCCAGAGTTGTACTTGGTCACGCTAGGATTGTCAGCAAGGCCGTATGTCTTCAATAATTTTTACTTGCCGACCAAGTCCCAACCACAACAACTGCAACATCTGCCGTTTGGGCTGTCGATATAGCTTCCGCAAACATAGATTGGTCGTTCGACCAGCGCTCACATCCCTTGGCGTAAGTCACAACTATCCATTGTCAATAAAGTTCGTTTGAGAGGCAAGAGAACTCGCCTCCTGTGCTTGCAGCTTTGATTCCATCAAGTGGTGTGACACCTCTGAATTGACTCGCATTGACAACATAATCGCCATACTATTGGAGATTAGTAAAGAACATCGAGAGCTGCCATCTAACCTACGTTCATAAATCCATGAGCCATTGGTCCAATGACGGCTATGTTGGCGGATTTCTTCAACGGGAGAACATTATCATGATTCTCAAGTAAAACGATTGATTCGCCATCAAGCTCTCGAGCGAGGGCAATCGTCTCTGGAGTATGGATTTTCGACGCCGCTTGCTCCGCCGGAACGCCCAGATATGGGTTCTCGAATAGTCCCATGGCAAACTTTGCCCACAAGAGACGAGAAACGGCTGTATCCACAACATCAATACTCAACTTTTTCGCCTTAACAAGTGCTGGGATGGTAGCGAAACAATAAGTTCCGCCTCCCATCTCGACGTCATTTCCTGCGTTAAGGGCCTGTTTTGGTCAGTCTAAGGTGATGAGCACAGCAAATAAGCGACTTACATAAAGGGTAACAGCCTCCTGATCGGTTGGATTTGATTGACACATCTTGAAGCCATAGCAGAGTCGATCAGTCGCACCGGCGTCACTCGTTGTCCAGTACTTGTACCCCCACTCCTCCCTCAAGATCTCCGTCAAAATGTGGTAATTAGCAATCAACGGGACCCCATCGTAAGCCGCATAGGAGGTCATGATCGCATAAGCTCCAGCATCAATAATTTGACGTTTATACGGCGGTAAGTAGGTGGTTCTAAGTTCTCTCTCCCCGCCATGCACAGGTCCAGCATTTAAGCCCTGCTCGGGTGTTCCATATGCGGCAAAATGTTTGATTGTCGCACTGACGTTTCCTCCTTGCAAGCCTTTTCCCGTTAGCAAACCTAGCCTCACAGCAGCAATGTGAGAATATGTTACCTATCACGTATGAATATCCCATCTCTCCAGCCAAATATCCATCTTCTCCGAACGTCTCCTCAACTCTCCCATACCTAAGTTCACGCGCCAGATCTCCAAGCGGTGCAAAGATCTGATTGACGCCAAGGGCAAGCGCTTCCTGGGCAATAGCTGCACCCATCTTCTGCACCAATTTCGGATTCCAAGAACACGCTTGACCGATCGGAGAGTTAAAGATCGTCGCATTGCCGATGAGAAACCCGTGGATTCCTTCGCTCTGAACAAGAGCGGGTATTCCTAAGGTCGTGTTGTGCATCAGGTACTCTTGGGCTTTCTTCACGCCCTCGTTGATCCACTGCTGTGGAGCAGGGTATCCGACGTAGAATTGCCCGGCGCGATTGGCCATGCTCCACGCTAGACCGGTTGCATTGAACGCGTTGGTTGTGGTGTTGATCCAGTTCGAGATATCGCCTTGTATTAGTTGCGCAGTCTTTTCTTGCAATGTCATTCGTGAGAGCAGATCCGCGACTCTAGCGTCGACGCTAGCATGAGGATTCTTGTATACTGGTGTGGAGTTGGCATTGTCCGCTCGAGTGAGACCGAGAAATAGGGACACCACTATTGTCAAGCGGAGCTTCATGATTGGAAAAGGTGGATCAGCGATACTCTCGAAAGCTTTATTGTAACTTCCAACTGTTGAATGAAATTTGGGAAGAAGATAGAAATCCCAGATATAAGTCCGTCTTTATATTCCTCCTTTCCGTAGGACCCAATCGGCGAGGCAGGCTTCGCCTGCGGTTGTAATTTCCTCGTCTGTCCAAATCCCTGCATACTAGTCCAGGAATGAGATGCAGCAGTTCCCCTGATCAGCGAGTTTCGACGGCCCGACAACAGCGGAAACGCCGTGACTTGCGTTCCCTTGTTTGTTACAGGGGAGTCGGCGCGGACGTTGTTCTTGCTTGAACATAATCTTAAGCTTGGTTGGGAGGGGGAAGCTGATTCGTGGAAGCGAATCCTAGGGCGATCATTTAAGCTTGCCGGAATAATATTACAGCGAAGGTATTTACCCATTCAGTTGCTAGCTTCTTCCGAAACCCCTCATTGACACTACTAAAGCGGGGTTCAACTTCCAAGTGCACATTCCATTTTAGCCAAGTTGGGGATTTCGGCATTTGGTCTCGTTCGACAAGTCGAAGTGTGTAGAGAGGTTGGGGCTTAAAGGGCAAATGTACAATCGAGGTTGGGATACTGGACTGTGGTACAAAATGCAAAATGCACGAGGTCAAAAGAACACCGTCTAGAGTTTCAACGGGGGATACGAGGTTTACGAGGCGATTTGGGATAGCCTTGAACGAGAATGTACTGCGTGAAGTTGGGACAATGGCTGTAAAGTAGAAAGAAAGCAATATGTTGCAGGGCGAAGATGAAAAGTAGGGCAGAAAAGAAAACTTTGGGCAGAAATGTACGGTGTGATGCTGGGACACTCGCCACAAGATTGACAGTTCCCATCTTGCGATGCACCGCTCTCAACTGTAGTTCATGAACTGGAGAATCAGATGTATGGAATTAGCGTCATTGCTCGCATCTTATTCACGCCCGTGGGTGGCTTGTGAAGCTATTAGTGAAGAGTGGACTGATTTGGAGGAAGGAGGCAGGAGTTGGTGAAATATCTGACTTTGGGAGATCGAGAGCGGGACGTTGACGTTTGGAAGACGGAAAACGGACAAGATGATATTATTACATTTCATCTCTCCTCATTATAGCATAGCATAAAAACAATTGGTGTTGGAATTGCCATTGTGAATCGTACTCTTACCATTGTTAAGGATAAGAATAGGGGTAATTACATGCTTAGCCAAAAGTATTATAAGACCTTACCACAAGTCCACGATGCTTTATCGCATATTCATTGACTACTAACGCTTGTTAATACTGGTGATTTAGCTGCTAGCTGATTTTGGGCACTTGCTCGGAGCCTCGGGGTGCATTGGGATGAGGAGAACATATTTTAGTAAATTGATTTTCACATGATTCAAAATAAGGATACGTAGAGAAAACCTGGCAAGTTCAAAACAAAAGCTTTGTTAAAATCAGATACCATGGGGAAAAGAGAATTTACATGTCTCTAAAGTCATTAATATAAAATAGGACGACCGATAAATCGTCAACAATAAGGAAAGCAACAAAATAAAATAACATATAATTGCATACAAAGCGAACAAACCCAAACGAGATAATTCAAACCAACCAAACTTTTTTTATTTTAAAAAAAAGACTTAAAAGTTGATATCCATCACACATCCACGAGCACTCCGAGGACATGCTTCACACGCTTGACTCTTGCAGCGTTGGCTGGGCCCGGATATGTGCCGCTATATTCCCTGACAAAATATTGTCGGTGGGTCCCACTCAGCTGAGGGCGTGCGGCAACAACGGCCTCGGGGAAATTCTGAACCAAAAAAACGACGTCATCAAAGTCAGTCTTCGATCCTCGTGCAAAAAAAGCACCCAGTTTGCTACTCGTGATCCAGGCCACGTTGAGCATGGTGTATTGTCTAGGACCAAGATTGGTTGAGACGTTGAGGGTTTCGGAGGCCGTTCGAGGGTCGTCGGGTGCACCAAGGTTTCCTGAGAGAAAGTCAACAAAGTCCGGATAAATTACAGGATAGGCAGTACATGCCTCTGAGAATTATGTCTACCTCCGTGAGCACCTCGTCGAGATTCAGTTCAGGATTATGCTGACCCCCAGTACGAACAAAAACCCTCATGACTCCCGAGACGGGACCTGACGGACGAAGCACCCTGAGCCTACTTAGTTCCATAGAACGCCAAAAACAGTTTGACTTACCGCGGTTGAGTTTTGAGAGCTTCAATGAGTTGCACCATCTCACAGCCAATGGCAACATCTACGTCGTAAGTGTTGCGCTGACTTCCTCGCATATTGAGAGAAAACCCTCCCATCAGGGAGTAGGGGATCCCAAAGGCTTGAAAAATCTGAATAATGTGGTCGGCCGCCGCTATCAATTGCCAATTCTCGCTTCATAGGCCAAGGCTGAAAGTTGGAAGCCCTGCTCGGCGTTGTAGGTCCCGGTGGGCTGTTGCACCTGTGGATCCGGTGCGCGTTGAGACATAGTTCAATGATTTACTTTGCAAGCGTAGAAAACGTATCGAAATTAACAATGTGGGGTGCTCAGTAGAGGTATGAAACGACGTCTGATAAAAGGGGGAAAAGGAAGTATGAAGGACTATGTTAGAACGAATAAAAAGGTCATCTCATACGTTGAGTTTTGAGCTGCAAACAACCACACACACACACCCATATATGTATCTACCCGCAATTCCAACAACTCGCAGGTGTTCAATCTATCTTCTGATATTCAGAGTTGTGCGCGCGAGATGTGACAACTTGTGGTCGTTGATGGGTCTGAAACGACACGCGAAGTTGGCCGAGACTCTGCCTGGGCAGATTCAACGCCCGTACAGTCCCAGAAAGAGGGATGGATGCGTCCATGGCCGGGGCGAGGCACAGCAGTAGAGGTATATATCAACAGAAGTTTGCTAACACCCAGTATAGAAGCACGAAACGGTCGGTATTATCTTCCGAGGTGAATATTTGGACAATGGTCAGAAAGGCCAGTTGGGAGGAAGACTGAGCCACAGGTCTCGTCTGCCCGCTCAATATAGGCACGGTCCAGAGGAGAAACTCAGATAACTTGGAACAGTCTCTTACACCAGCACCGTCAATGTTGGTGTATCAAATGAAATAGGGTAACACGGTAACACATAGCCGCCATCTTGTAGTGTGTTGAAGAGAAGTTTTGTCAAAGTTGTTGGTACTTCGCAAGCGGTTGGTATGCAAAGCTATCTTTAGGAAATTGGATTGGGGGAGTTCGCGCGCGGCAATCAGGCAGAGCCACACCTGATGGCCGCCACTGAAGGATGCAAAAGAAACCTCTTCTAGCATCCATCTCCTGTTGGGACAGTGTTGGTGTTGGTATATGTTGGAAGTGTTGCAAAAATGAATCAAAGAGGTCCAGGTACGAGTAAGAACATCGGCCAGAAGCGAGGAGCAGCTGCAGTAGCTCGAGGCCCTGCCAACCGCGAACGTTCAGCAAGCCCAATGATAACTTCGCACAAGCGCCAGGTGCAAACACCCCCCCTTCAATATGCCTATCACACACATGCATAATCGGCATGGTGCGGTAATACAGGCCGGCCACTGCTCCATTTCCGGCCTAGGCCGCCAGGCGCATGTTGAAACGTGATTTTTGAGGGGGGCGCAGCTGCGGTAAACAGAGGGAAAATGTAGAACGACCCCCCGGGTGTCAATTGGGGGCCAGGTTAGCCACTAGCCCAAAGTAGGAGCGCTCGGACAAGAATATCAAAAATCTAGCTTTCTCTTTAAATTTCATTTGCTTTATAAGGAATTAATAGAATTTAATAGTCGGACTTAACGTCACGACTAAAGGGTGGGGCCCCTTTAGTCGTGACGTTAAGTCCGACTATTAGTACTTTCTAAACTCTTTTTATAGTGCTAATTAAGGGCTATTCAAATATGAACTTTTATAAAATATAAATTAGTAATAGTTCTTTAAATTAAAAAATTAAAAAATTAAATGTTGGTACAGCTGTTCCTTTGGGAGTCACGGGACACGGGACACGGGACATGGGAAACGGGACATGGTCATGTGACCTCGCGTCCCATTGGTGACTCGACTAGTAGACTAGACCCCTTTAGGCTTAGCAGATTTAGGGATCGCATATCAACACCACGATACTGTGATCCCTACTTCTGAACAACAACTTCACTAACCTTACGCAAATAGCATTCCACGACTTACGTAACGGTGCCATGCGTTACTGGTGAACCGACACTGATTAGTTTATATATACAGATCAGAGAATAGAATCTTTTGAGCTAAAGTATCCGGTGGCCTAAGCAAAATTGAACTAGTCTACGTCGAAGGGGGGAATTACCTGTCAACTCTACGAAGTATCCGGTGGCCTAAGGGAGAAAACAGCTAGCTCTTGCCAAGGACCGATAACCACTCTATCAAAGGGGGGAATTACTCGTTAACTCTACGAAGTATCCGGTGGCCTAAGGGAGAAGACTCTAGTTCTTGCCAATTAATAAGCGGTTAGCTATTTGACTATCTATCTATCTATTCAACTATCTACTATCCTTCAAAACCAACTTCTTTCGGTCCCAAGACTACCTTCTTGGAAACCATCTTTTCTACTTATATAATACCTGTATCTATAGGATACTCTCTCCGGAATATATACCCTGTATACGCCCTTAAAGCTCTTTAACTACTACTTCGATTTTACTATCAAATCGAGTCCTTTGAGCTTCAGATCCTCCCGGAATTGCAATATTTCACTTCCTAAATTTCTCGTTATAGACGAAATATTTAAGGGTGAAATATTTACTTTAATATCCTATTAGGTATCTAGTATCTTAACTAGGTATCTGAACCAGGTATCTGGATATCTTCTGGATACCTTTACTACTGAACTTTTCTATAAACTTATTACGAACTACCTTATCTTCGAACCTCTCTTACTATAAATTATATATATATTAAGAAGGGCTTAACCCTAGGGGTTCGGTATAGTAGAACTATAGAACGGATATATATAAATAAAGAAGTAAAAAGACAGTATTAATCTGATTACCTATAATAATAAGGAAGTCCTGGACTATCTCGATATTAGATTATTCTAGTATAAGGTAGAGAAGTTAACTAATAACTATTTCTGGGAATTATTTAAGAAGGATTTCAGTAATTTTGACCTCGAAGTATTTAATTATCTAGATTAATATATATTATATAAATTATAAACTGCTTTATAATATAATAGTATTTATATTAAATAAAATAATAAGAAACTTATTATTATATAGTCCTTAGTTAATACTATTTAGGAAAAAGAGTAATATACCTGAACTATAATTAATATTATTATTACTAGACTAGACCTTAATACGGGCCCTATTACCTTATTATATATATCTCTTAATAATAGTATTATAAGAAATTAATAAACTGAACTAATTATTACTTATATCTCTTTACTACCTATAATTGCTCCTACTAGTACTGGACTATAGAGAGCTAGTAGTAACAGATTTCTATTACTTCTATTATCTCTACTATCTCTAAATAGCCCTTTAACTAGTTCTCTTACTATAAAGCTAATTAAAGAAATAATAAAGATATATACTAAGATATAGAAATATAATAGAACTAATAGTAGTTTTAATTAAAAACTTACTATCTTCCTTAATATCTACTAATATATAGACCTCCTAGAAGAGGTATTAATAAGAGCTTTTCCTATTATATTAAAGGAACTAGTATAAGACTACTTTTATAATAACTAGTTCTCTTAATATATATATAAAGAAGCCTATATAAATATTTATAGTTTCTTTAAAGGCCCCGGTTACTATTATTAAAATTTAGATAAATAGAATACTACTATCTTAGTAATTATAATAGTAAAAGACCCTAAAAAGACAATATTCGAGCTTGTCCAAATACTAATTAATAACCTATATAAATTATAATATGGCTTTACTCCTGCCTTATAAACTATTAAATTCCTATATAATAAGATTATTATTACCTATTAAGGCTTACTAGTATACTAATATATAGTCTTGGACTCTCCTAATAATCTTAGCTAGCTTATTAATAAGTTCTAATTATCTATTATTACCTATAAGAAGAAATAATAGATTAATACCCAGATCCTCTTTACTAATCGAAAATACTATTCTTAAAATTTTCTAAACTATTATCTGTCCGGAAATTATTAATACGAACCTAACTATAACTTAGGAATCCGTAATAACTCCTCTAAGTCCTATAATTATAATAATTATATTCCGAAGTCATATTTTATATATAAGAGACCCGAATCCTACTTATAGAAGTATATACCGGAGAAATAAGAGACTAAGAAGGCTCGATTTAAGAATAGAAATATTTACTAATTTAGATCCCGAAATACCTATAACTTTAATAAATGCTTTAGTAGTATTTATATATAATATATTACCGAATTCGAAAGAAAAGAGAATAATAAGAGTAGTAAGGATAAACTAGTAGGTAATGCTTTTAAAGCTTTACTAGTAGAAACGAATAAAGGAAAGAAATATTACTTTAATTCCTACTTTACTTCTATTAAGAGCTTTCTAGTTACTCCTATAGCCTCTATTTCTACTATTCCCATAACTAATACCCTTATAGATAACCTTATTTCCCTCTCTCTTATATATTAAATAATAGGCAAAAACCATATCCTAAAGCCTATTAAATAAATAGAGAATATCTAGATATTTATAATTAATAGTATATTAAGATATAATACTTACTGCTTTTATAGAATTATAATTAATACTAGAGTCTCTAGATTTTTAATTACTGGTTTTAACTAATTCTAAGCTTTATAGTAAACTAATAATAGTATTAAACTTAATAAAACTACTAAAGGTTAAGTTAATATCTAGTTTAATATCGGATTTATATCCTCTATTAGATCTATAATAGTAAGAATACTAATTAGATAAGTATAATTCTATATTATATCTATAAAGACTCTATTCCTATTTAGCTTGGCTAATATAAATAAGCTAGGAGTCTATTTTAATAATCTTACTAATTATCTTATTATTTCTAATAAATACTTTATATCTATAATATAATATTTTAAATACTCTTTCCTGTTTTAGAATACTATTCTATAAAGCTTTATTTCCAAATCCTTTATATATAATTCCTGCTTTCTTATAGAGGTCAAATTATAATATCTATATTACTATTTTGGTTATTTATTTATTAGTAAGCTCCGAAATATACTAGAATAAACAGGCTATAATATTAATATAGAAGCCCTTAAATACCTTATAAAGTACTATAAATAATACCAGA